AATGTAGGCTCTGATTCAGTCGCTCTGACCCAGGGACTTAAGAGTCTGCATTTCTAATAAGCCTCCAGGTGAAGCCGATGCTAATAGTCCAAAATCACACGCCTAGAGAATGCCTTCCCTTCCTTTCAGAAGCAAATTTCAGAAAAGTCTTTTTTGTCGCACGTGAATGTTGCTGCAATCTGGAGATGTGGATGTGTGTGTGCCTATGTGTGCATGCAGGCATGCATGTGTTCATGGGTGTGTGTCATTATTTGAGTCCTTACTGTGTTCAGTGATTTGCACACATTATCTTATTTCCCCCTCATAACTACCCACATGAATTAAGAACTATTACTCTTATTGCAGAAATGAGGAAACTGAGGCTTAGAGTTTAAAAAACTTGCTCAAGTGAGAAACAGAGCTAAAATTTCAACTTAGTTCTTTGCTTTTATTGGTACCCGGGGCAAACTCAGATATGAGTTCTTCCACATTTTCTTTTTTTTTATGTTATTTATTTATTTTAGTGGGGGAGGGCAGAGGGAGAGGGAGAGAATCCTCAGGTAGACTCCACATTGAGCATGGAGCCCAACAGGGGATCTGGTCTCACGACCCTGAGATCATGACCTGAGCCAAAACCAAGAGTGGATTGCTTAACCGACTGAGCCACCCAGGCACCCCCCACATTTTCTAAAAGATTTTGGGCATGTTTTTTACCAAGGCCCACACTCTGACTATCCAAAAGTTGTGATGATATCGTTACTGCTTTCTGCTGCACCTGCCTTAGGCATGGGTCCCCAGGGCTCTGGGTTGGGGGGGGAGGGTGCATCCCATGGCTCATCTCAGGTGAAGCTGCACAGGGGGGATGTTTACGAGTCCCAAGAGGTAGCTTTCAATTCCCAAAGTAATAAGTCCTGTGCGGGAAGCCTAGTTGGTGAACCGGGTTTAATTCAGGACATACCTGTTGGTAATATTAGCAGCACAAAAAACAGACTTGTTTCTGGTGAGCGCAACACCTCGGGTTCTGGATCTTCCAGCAGCTGTGTTCGCAGAGTGTCTGCATTTTGGGTGAAATCCAGAAAACACTCTCCTTTGTTCCCTTTATTTCTCATGAAAGGAATGAAAATTTCCATTGCAGGATGTACTTTATCCATTACTTTACTCAGTCCTCAGTCCTCACAATAGCCCCCTGAGGTCAGCAGTGCAACCATCACACCCATTCTAAGGATTAGGAAACTGCGACTTACAGAGGTGGAAAAACGTTGCACAACATTAGTGAGGACTCATGACTCTAAAGCCCGGAGCTCCCTGCCTTTAAAAGATGGGGATAGTAACACACACTTATTTCCGCTTGAGGACCGGACATGGTTGGGTATCGTGCCTGGCAGAGGGGCTGTAAATGAATGGGACCAGATCCACAGCCACGCCCTCAGATTTCTCAGTGTTCATTCTCTCAGGGAAGCCAGGGGGGCTGTTGATCCACGTTCTTGGTAATAGACCTTAAGGAGCACACAGCTTTCCCTTCTCACCCGGTGACAACGCCCCTCCCAACGGAACACACCACCTTCCATCCCTGGTACTCAGACTCCCGTCTACCTGATGTCGCCAGCTCCCCATTGTTTTATTCCAGCACCTCCAAGGGCTCATATCTCTGCATCCCTCTGAGTGTTGCTTCTGCCATGCTGGCAAGAAGCTTGCCCTCTCTTGATCATTTTAGGACTACATTTTGCGGTCTCTCCTTTCATCTGAGAGAGTTCACTTGGTCTCTGGAACAAAACGATGTCTGGAGCCTCCACGTTATGACACCCAGTAGTCGTGTTAGATATCTCCCTCATGGGCAATCTGGGGCTAAGATTTTAATCTCCATAGGTTTCAAATAACTAAGAGAATAGTCAGAAGAAAGACCATTCAGCCTGCATTTTAAGTGACCATGGGTTGCTTAGAAACAGCTTTCTGGAGGCTACCAGACATGACCTTTTCTGGATCCATGGTCTAAACCAAAGGATAACATTCAGCTCTGGCTAACTGGGAAGGCGGGATAGAATTACTATAAAAAGGGTGTTCGCAGGTGTTTCTATGTCCCACATTCTTTCACCGTAAGATTTATTTCAAACAGAATTTGGACTGGTTGAAGGTTTCAGGGACACAGAACAACAGGAATTAACCCGAGACCAGCCCCAGCCAGATTCACAGCCTTATCCCCGTCCCTAGGAGCAAGTGGAGAGGGGTCAAACTGGAGCTCTGTGTGCTAAGCAGAGAGTGGAGAGATGGAGCTCCTCAAGATGGATGGTGATACTTAACCAGTATTGCTTTATTTTTGTCTGAAGGCAGCAGGACGGACAGAGACCTGGAAGGGGTTCTCGGAGTGAGGGCTTGAATCATTTGTCAGTCGCCCAGAGTTTGCTGCTGTTGGATGTTTGTAGTTGGTTGTTTGTTTGCCTTGCAGCCTTCGTGACACTTGGTCAGTACCTGAAACATGGCCCACGTGGATGTGAACTTCTCTAGCACTGGGACCCACTGGGCATGTGCATCCTGCTGTGTTGGCATGCTGGGGAACTGCTATGCTTCCTCCTTCTAACAGTGCTTACATTTGCTCCTTAAACATCCTACTTGGGACCCTGTAGGTGACCAGAAAATTTAGGAGTTTTCTCACTGGGGAAAGGTTAACACGAAGCCACCATTTCTCTTCTCCCTCTTGTCATATTTTCTCCACACTGATTTTATTGTAAGGTTCATTCTAAGGTGTGTGGGTAGTGAGTTACTACACTGAAACATATTTCTCTAATCAGGGAATTTGGGTTCCTTTTTAATCATTGTGTCTCCCAAGACAATAAAGTAGTGGGGTTTTAGGAAGCTCCTGAAACTTTCAACACTCAGTAGCTAAAGAGGCAACTTGAATGAATCTTGACAGCAACCCAACAGAGGCAGTGCCCAGGGCATGACAAGACCACAGCAAGAAAGAAATTAGTGTGGCTTTGGCTGCACATACACTACAGTTGGAACAATACAGAGATTAGCATGGCTCCATGCAAGGATGACACACACATTTGTGACACGTTCCATATTAAAAAAAAAAACAAAGGAGGGAAGGAATTCAACTTTTCCAAGAGTTAAACTGTAAATCCAACATATAAGAAAATAGGGTGGGGGCGCCTGGGTGGCTCAGTCGTTAAGCGTCTGCCTTCGGCTCGGGTCATGATCCCGGGGTCCTGGGATCGAGCCCCACATCGGGCTCCCTGCTCGGCGGGGAAGCCTGCTTCTCCCTCCCCCACTCCCCCTGCTTGTGTTCCTGCTCTTGCTATCTCTCTCTCTGTCAAATAAATAAATAAAATCTTAAAAAAAAAAAAAAGAGGGTGGTTGTAGGCAACATTGCTTCAAAACACCTGTAAGATTTTGTGAACCCGAGTGACTTAGCTGTCATATGATTGTGGGTATTCACAGTCAAAGTTTTCATCATCAGCCGAGCTACTGATCTTCTGATTTTTAACTTTCTTGTGAATTTTGTTAGCACAGGCAGCATCCTCAAGTGGAATCCCAGCTAGGACAGGATACTTGGCAGTTTGGGGCTTAGTGGGCGAAGGACCATGGTGAGTGCTGCGTTGGGAAGCTGAGGTCAGCCTCTCCGAGAGCCATGTGTCACCCCACGGGTGCACCTGAGCACCCTCCCAGCCACAGCACCCATGTGCACCGCCTGCAGCAGAAGCTTGGCTTTTTTGCCGTTTCCTTGAAGCATGCATTGTTGCCTATGGGGTTGGAGCGGCAAATTTGAGAAAAGGAGACCCAGCAGTCCTCTAAGTTGGTGTAGAGCTTTTAGTATTCTCAGAGCACGTTCAGTAATCCTGTGAGATAGGCAGGAGTCACTAACATAATGACCACTGTGGCCCTTGCCATGGCGAGGTGGAAAATGCAATCAGGTGCACTTGCATTAGCTCTCTCCTCTTCTTTAAAAGGTTGCGGGTCAGGGGCGCCTGGGTGGCTCAGTTGGTTAAGCAACTGCCTTCGGCTCAGGTCATGATCCCAGGGTCCTGGGATCGAGCCCCGCATCGGGCTCCCCACTCAGCGGGAAGCCTGCTTCTCCCTCTCCCACTCCCCCTGCTTGTGTTCCCTCTCTCTCTGTCTCTCTCTCTGTCAATTAAATAAATAAAATCTTAAAAAATAAATAAATAAATAAAGGGTTGCGGGTCAGCCAGGGACATCCCTCCCCTTCCCAGTTGCAGATGAAGACATGCAGGCAGACAGAGGTACTGAACTGGGCCTAAGTTTGCTTGGCTCACTGGTGGCTGGGTCAAGACTAGAATCCTGGTCCTGACTAGGCCTGCCTTTGTCTGTGCCTCTCCCAGCACTCAGAAAAGTCTTGTGACAGAAACGAAAGCGTGCCCAACTCCCACGGATCATTTCAGTCCAAACCGGACCAACTCCTTGACACTGTTAGATAATATTTTTTTTTTTTTTTTTTTTTTTTTTTAAGATTTTATTTATTTATTCATGAGAGAGAGAGAGAGAGGCAGAGGGAGAAGCAGGCTCCCAAGGAGCAGGGAGCCCGATGCGGGACGCAATCCCAGGACCCCGGGATCATGACCTGAGCTGAAGGCAGACGCTCAACCATCTGAGCCACCCAGGCGCCCCTAGATAATATTTTCTTTTGCAAGGTCATTCACGAAACCATCATATTAACTCTGGGTTCTTGTCTCAAAATACCAGAGACAGTCTCTCAAATCTATGGAATACCTTGATACCTTGATATGTATCGTTTGTTCTTTCTTTTTTCTTCAATTGTGAGAGAGCATACATACAGGAGAGTGCATTTACCTGCAGTTTAAAGACTAGTTATAAAGACTGTTTATTAATTCTGTTTAAGAAACAGACTATTAATAGCACTCCAGTCTCCTTCCCCATATCCCTCCCCCATCACAACCCTCGTTCTCCTCACTGGAGGTAACCACCATCCTGCTTCTGTGATCATTGTTCTCTTGCTTTTCTTATTTTTCTTATTTTGCCCTTCAGAGAACCCCAGGCCCGGAGTCATGGCAACCAAACCCAAGCTCTTCTACTTTCGTGGCCGGGGCAGGATGGAGTCGATCCACTGGCTGCTGGCTGCAGCTGGAGTGGAGGTTGGTTCCTGACTGGGAAAAGGAAGGAGGGTAATTTGGGTGGACTGGAGTGGTCCTCTTCCCCCTTCAAAATTTAGAATGGTGCCTTCAAGATAGATCCACTCTTTCCCTTTCCACCTACCTTTCTTTGTAAGAGGTGAGAGAGGGATCATAGGCCTCTGTTTAAGCAAGGTTGGGAGGGTGGAAGCCTAAGGAGATGTTCTGGAAGCTTCATAGGGGCCCAAGAGGTCCTGGTGACTCATAAGACAAAGCAGAGAGAGGAAAGCCATAACTGGATTATTGTCTTCACTGGAACCAGCTAATTTCCTGTGGTCTTTCCAGCTCTGGCCTGGCAACTCAGTCTTGTTCTACCCATGGGTGCCAACTGGAACCCTAGGCCCAGCTGCAGTCTGGTCTCCTCTTGAGCCTTCCTCGGAAAGGTCTGCCCCACTGGGATCTTTCCTTAATTCTGAATTCCTTAACCATTGACTTTTCCATAGATTTTCACAAGTTATTTGGAAGGTATAGACTTCTTTTTCCCCATTTTAATGCCATCTTCTTTTTTAAATTATTAACATATAATAATGCCATCTTCTTTAAGACAAGGACTCGTGCATGACCTTCTTTGTTTTGTTCACCTTATCCTACCCCCATCTCAAGGTTTAGGGGACAAAAAAAAATCAATCTTTCCCACAGAAGCTTTAGGGATTCCGTCAATAAATAATGGTAACCCCACCTGAATAATGATCTTCAGATCCCTTTCATTGAATGTATGAGCATTAAAGAGAAATTTAATTTGACCTGATAGGGAGAGAGAATGACACACAAGAGAGAAAAGAAAGGAAAGAGAGGAATGGAAAAAGGGAAATCACTGGGGGAAGCTGGTGAAAAGGACAAGAATTTGGAGAGAAAAAAGAGCTAAGGTGAAGAAAAGGGAAAATATGAATGGGGCTGAGGATATCCTATTAGTAGGCAAAACCCCCAAAGGGGTGCCAGTCCCATGCCCGTAGAAGCTAATCTACACACACATTGGCGGAATTTTCAGCTGTGTGGAAACTGACAACTTTGTGGTTCCTTTTAAAATTTTCATTCTGAAAACTATTGGGCATTTTATACTGTGAATCTCTCTCTCTCTCTTTCCCCCCCCCTCCTCTGAGGACATTAAAGTTATAACAAAGTTTCTATCCTTTATCTAGTTTGAAGAAGAATTTATTGAAACAACAGAACAATATGAGAAGTTGCTGAAGGGTGAGCCTGAGATTTATTCAATGTTTTCTTACTGGAAAAAGTAAACATTTGTTTCTGGAAATATTCATTTCAATACAGAACACAGAACTCTGGAGTGACACCTATTAGAAAAAGGACTGCTCACACTGATTGAGTGCCCACTGTGTCCCTGTCACAGGGCTAAATTTATCATCTGCTTTGTGTCTTTAGCCGTCATAAAAGCTTATCAAGTAGACTCTGACCCAGACCTCAGTGAGAGATGGTAGCCTGGGTTTGACTCAGCTAACTGGTTCAATACTCCCCATCCCATTGAATGGAGCACTGGGTGTTATGCGCAATGAATCATGGAACACTACATCAAAAAAAAGAATGCTTGAAGAATTCTTAAATAATGATCCAGTGGGTTGGAAGGGAAGGGGAATTTGGGCTAAAATATTCTCTAGTTCTCATGGCTCATATCCGTTCTTAGTGGTTTCAACAGATTAACAGACACCATTTTATCAGGTCACAATTGTAGAACCAAGACTATCGAAAAGACCGAAATTTGATTAAATTCGGAAGTCTTTCACCCTTACGATTTCCTAGAAAAGTTTCTCAAACCAAGAGAAAAGACTAGTACTTTCATAGTGCTTCTTAACCTTCTAATAGCCACAACATTACTTTCCTTACCTAAGGAAACATGGATGTCCCCACCATTGCTGATAAACAGTCATGAAATTGACGCATATTATTTTTTTGAGAAACCTTCAACTAGTAATCAGCAGACCTGCCGTTTACAAACTGTATGACTTCGCAGAAGGCCTTTAACTTCTCTGCATCTTATTTCTTTACCATAAAATAAAAATAATCTCTGTGGTCACAGATGCAGTATACCAGATCTCACTAAATGGGGAAGGCTGGCTAGCCCCTTACCCCATTCTTGTCCAGGAACTTTATTGTCTGGAATATCCCTGAAGCTCCCCATTCTCTTTGTTTCTGCCCTACTCCACCCCAAATGAGGCCAGTCACTGGTACATGGTAGGGATTAAGTACATATGTATTGAATAAGTAAATGAAATGCATCTCCAGAAACTTTTCCATGATCATTCCGGCAAGAACTCCTCCCTAATACCCTATGAAATCCTCCAGCCCTCCCTGAGTCTGTGATGCTACTCTTGTGCTTGAGACACTCTCCTGGGCATTACCATTATTTGTGAATAGGAGACAGAGAGGGACAGCAGAGGGTTGTGGGCTGAAGAGTCAGGAGGCCCACTTCTGTTGACTTCAAGCAAGTCATGTTTGCCCCCTTGGCCTTCACAGTGCCTTAGTCTATTATATGAGTGAGCTAAATGATCTCCAAGATCCTTTCCTATACTCTTGATCCGAGAGTTTTAAAAATCCTTCTGAAGAAGATCATCAGCTCCTAGAAGCATGGATCGTATCTAATAATCTAATATCTTCTGCATCACTAACAAGCAGTAGCACAGAGCCCAGTTTAGATGCTCGTTCACTCTTGGACAAATGTAGAACTGCTTTTAGGAAATGGAGATTTTGCAGTCTCTCCATTAATAATAGTACTAATATTTCGAAAGCATGGTCACAAGATGATCTTATTCCTGCTCAAGGAAATTCTACAATTGGCAGATCAGAAAATAGATTCAGGGAAGCCTGAAGTCATCAACTAGACAGGGACACTGGCTCCCTGGAAAGTTCCTATGGTGGTTTCCTCTCCACCATCCTCTACCGCCTCTCATTAAGTCAAGTAGCAACAGTACTAGAAGTTGGGGAAATTAATTCTGGCCTTTGCCAATGCACTAGTGAAATCCGGTTCCTATTCTGGATAAAAAGTTACTGATTCTCAGCAATGTACAGGTGGTAAAGGAAATTTAAAGGCCATTTATTTCTTCTAGAACCTATGAAAAGAGCACTATTTATAGTACATCTTTAAATGCATTACTTATATAGGCAGTCACTCACAAAGAAGAAAATTTAACTTTACTAAACACTAATTATTGACAGTATTCAGTGTTTATTTATCTCATTTCATCTTTTCAAAAATCCTGCTAGATAGATATTATTATTGTTTTAGAGCAAAGGAAGCTAAAGCTCAGATAGGTCATTTGCTTATAGTCACATGGCTGGGGAGGGCTAAAGCTGGCGTTTGGACCTCGTCTGCCAGGGTTCTTGCTGTCACGTCCGTCCTGCTGCCACATAGACCTGGAGTGATACCTGCTGTGCTTTTCAAAGAATTCAGGCTCCCAGCCTCCACCCCTGAATCAGAATATCTGGGGAGTGGGGTGAGTATTTTTAACAACCCACCACCTTGAGATGAACTTTGAGAACCAGAAGCACTTATACTATAACATAGACATAGTAAATGTATAGTGTCTTAAACAACCATGATGAACCAAGACATAAAAATGTGTGAAACCATCAAACAAATCTCAGATTTTCCATAAAGCAAATGGTAGGCATTTCCTCAACAACTGGGGTCTTCAACTCACTACTTTGGATGAAAACAAAATCACTCAACAAAATTAGAAGAGACCCTCCTACAGGCTTACCTGGACCATGGAAGGACAGTATCCTAACCTCACTTTGCTCAATCCACAGATGGACGCTTGCTTTTCGGCCAAGTGCCTATGACTGAAATTGATGGAATGGTGCTCACGCAGACTAGAGCCATCCTCAGCTACCCTGCTGCCAAGTTCGACTTGTATGGGAAGGACCTGAAGGAGACAGTCAGGTAGCATAGTGTTCACGTCTGTACTTGATTCTTATCTAAGCTCTGTAGTCCTGCACCTGCTGGGACCCAGTTAAGGTGTAGCCTTTCCACTTAGACTGCGGGGAGAAGGCAAGGCGGGAACAAAGGGGAGATGCTCTTGCTATACCCATATGCAAAAGCAATCTGTTTCTCATCGTTTTGATGCATAACTGAATAAATACTCCAGTTCTTCCCTTTTACTACTCATAGTGGTGGGCATTCAACATTCTCATATTCTCTCTCCACTCCTAACAAAATATGTTCTCATAAAATGACCTGGTAAACTATTCTACATGAAGGTGGAAATGACTGACTCAGCAAACAAACACTGAGCATTATATCAATAATCTATTACCACAAATAATGCTGTGTAACATATCACCTTGAAACACAGTGACTTAAATCAGCATGCATTTATTACTGTGTCATGTGGGCTTTGGCATTATCTGGGCCAGGCTTGACTCCTCTTGGCTGGACTCACTCATATGGTCTGTGATCAACCAATAGCCAGGAGGCTCTGGTTTTGGGTGCTGAGTATCAGCCAAGGGGCAAATGGGCCATGTGTCTCTCATCCTCTCATGCCGAGCTTGTTCTTGGGGTAGCTAGGGAGGGTTCTAAGAGAGAGACTGAAAGCACACAAGACCTCTTAAGTTCTAGGCTCAGAACTGGTCAATTCCACTTCACTCCGTTAGTCAAAGCAAGTCATGAGATCAACCCAGAAAACAGACCCTATCTATTGACGGAAGGAGCTGTTGAGTTTTATCACAATTACTCAGGGGTGAAGATTGGTGTCCATGGTTTTGCACATATATACAAGCATCTACTATGTGCTGGACACTATGCTAGACCTGACTGAGGATGGCTGATTACTCCCAGGAATGGTTCAGTTTTATAGGAGATAAGTAAACTAAAGACAAAACGAAGACTTACAACTATTACAGTGTTATCTGGATTTGGGGTCAAAGGGCCATTTTAATGGTCCTTGAAATCTCATCACCATAAGCAGGACACTGTGGGATGGTCCATACATATATATAGAAGACATGGTGGGAGAAAGATCCAAATTCAATTGTTCAGAAGGAGAGAGAGAGTATATCATAGGAATGAGCAAAGTCCATAACAAGAAGCAGCATGCCCCAACTTTTCCATTGCTCCAACTTTAAAATGAACTTAGTCATCCTAACTTGCAGTCCTAAAAGTATATGGCAAGAGAAGCAATTTCAAACAGTGTGTGAAAAGAATCCTTTTATAATAATGTAAACAAGTAGTAGTATGCAAAAGCAATCTGTTTCTCATAGTTTTGATGCATGTGTTGTTTTTTCACAATTAAAGGTGATCAGCTAGGTAACAATCTAACCTGTAAGAAAAATGATTTGTAATTCAGATAGGACAATAATGTAAATTATGCTTTAATATATATTAAAATGCAAAACACAAAGATGACCATTGAACCAAATTTGTTGAGCAATTAGCATATAGTGGGGGATACACAGACACACAACCCTTAATGTTTGCACACTGGTTATAGAGATAACTTGCACAGCATAACTGCACCAACATGCAAATAATCAATGGTAATAGATCTACCATTCTTGGTTATTGTTGTTGTTTTTAGCTTTTCGTGTTTGTCAATGAAAGGAAAATTTTAGAGAATGAAATCCAGGTATCTGTCAGACCTGACTAGGAAAGCAAACTTTTCTTTCTCAGTTGCCAGGTCAGGGGAAGACCTGCTAAATTATGTATCTTCCCTAAAGAAGTGAAAATGTTCTGGTACTAATAGTTTTGCACTTCTGGTAAACTTAATTTGGTTAGGTTTTTTTTTAAGATTTTATTTATTTATTTATTTATTTGAGAGAGAGAGACACAGCGAGAGAGGGAACACTAGCAGGGAGAGTGGGGGAGGGAGAAGCAGGCTTTCCGCTGAGCAGGGAGCCTGATGCCGGGCTCGATCCCAGGACCTGGAACCATGACCCGAGCCGGAGGCAGACGCTTAATGACTGAGCCACCCAGGCACCCCTCGATTGGGTTTTTAAAACCATAATAATGTATTTATTTACTTATGGCAGATTTCAACCTGGAGGCGCTTAGTTTTTTCACACATCCCTTCATCCAATGAACATTTCCAGAGACCATAGTATCCTTGGGTCCCTTGGAGGGCTCTGGTTCCAGAAATCATTCCTGGGCATGGACTCTCAAGGAAAGGGATGTGAAAAGTCATTTGGCCCAATATCCATTTACGCCATCGCGGTGGCGGAGTAGGCCACCCCCATACTCAAAGGTTACCGTGGGGCCGCGAGTCACGCGCTCTTTTGTCAGGATCAATAAGTACATGATGGCACCCTGGACCTCATGATAACGATCGCGCTGGCTGCGTTCAAACTCCCCGCGAAGAAGAGGAGGATCTTGCTTTACTCGTGGAGACCGAAAAGTCGTTACTTCCGCCCCTTAGAAAAGGTAGGCGGCGGGAATCTAGTTTGCCTCGCGGCGGCAAGGCCTCACCCGCTCCAGGCAGGGGCGCCTGGGTGCTCTCGCGAGAGCCTGGGTCCGGGTCGGCGACCGCTGCGCGCGCAGATCCCGCGAGGGGGCGGGGGGAGCAGGGGGCGCGGCTGCTGACGTCCTTCAGCTACCCCCAGTACCCCCTCCCACTCCGGAGAGGGACGAGAACTGAGAGGCGGGTTTAGGGCGCAGCAGGTTCCGGCTGACGCTTCCCGGGATGTCGGGATCCAGGACTTATTTCAGAAGAATAGTTCCCGAATGAATATCTGAAAAGACCAGCTAGGGTAGTGCTTTCTTGTCCTCGAACCAAAACTTTAATAAGGGTTCCAAAACAAATGACGTGACGGAATTATGTGGAACCTCTAACAAAACAGAATGGCAGTAAACGAAATGCAACGAAAGGATACAGCCTTTCTGTTCTGATTTTTAAAATAAGCCATCAGCAGCCCAGGGCATCGGCACCTTAAATTCACCGAGTCAGATGTTTCTTTAATACTGGAGGCTAATCATGCCACAGTCAAAAGAACAAGGTCTTTTAAATTTACAACTTTCCCAAAGTCATTTTGGAGTGAATACTAATTACGAATGTCCTTGAAATACATCTGGTAAGTTTCCAAACTTAGAGGACAGCATGGGACATGGTAAGAAAGCCTTGTTAGCAGAGGGCTCCATAAATAAAGGCTTGCCAGACAGAGAATTCTGTGGGATTTCTCCTCAGTCTTAGTCTCGGGAAACAGTGATTTACTACTGATGAAGCTATAATGAAGAGTCTTGCCAGTACCTCAGAGTCCTAGACGATCCAGTTCCTCTTTATTCGGGAGCAATGTACGGTGTTGTTGAAATGCCTTCCATTTAAAAAAAAACTTGTATGATTATTTGAATTGTAATGTTAAATGGGCTTTCTGATACTATTTTCTACTTGTGGTATAGTAGCCTGATTCTAACTAATCATGACCTTCGTGTCTCCCTATACTGGTGGGTATAGTTTTACTAAACCAGCTGTAGGCTTATAAGAGAGAGCTCCGTTCCAGCCCTTCACTACCCAAAATGTCTTGATAATCACTGACAAACTTCCAACAAGACTGTGCCAATTTATGGAAATGTTTAAGAATGCGTAAGAGTTGGTTTCATCTGATCCTTTCCAGCAGTATTGGAGATTATCAAGAAAAAGATTCTTTAGTAAATTTGATCTGGACAGAAGACTCCCTGCTTTTATAAGTGTTTAGCCAGGCAAAATAGTCTTTACTTTTATTTGATATTCTTTGTTATTTCTCTTTCTGTAGATTTTGAAAGACCATGGAGAGGATTTTCTCATTGGCAACAAATTCAGTTGGGCAGACATACAACTGTTAGAAGTGATTTTAATGGTGGAAGAACTCAATGCTTCTGTTCTTTCTGACTTCCCTTTGCTAAAGGTAGCATATTCACATCCACACAAAGCCCATCCACACAAAGTGAATAGAAACGAAGACTAAAATGAAATGTATCTCCAGGTCAGTCTTAAAAGAAGACTTGTTAAAAAATCATTATTTCTTGCATCTTGGCAATTTTCTCCTGCTCTGTACTACAGGATCATTAGGAAATAAACCCTTATGATGGGAGAGAGATAGGTTATTTTGGTTTCTAACATAAACATTTAGTGCTTTCCTTTTTTTTTTTTTTTGGTGTGTGTGTGTGTGTGCTTTAAGTGTTTTTTTCCTGATGAAGCAAGGCTGACAAGTCTGTCTTTGTCGTTTCCCTCCCCAGTGCCTACCAGACAACTCTGCCCCCCTTTAGTGCCCTTGATGCCGAGGACACCCCACCATGTCCCTCCATTGCTCAGAGCTACTGCCTGGGTGTCCCTGCCTATCTCCTGCTGTTGCTCGTCCTTAGACCTCCTTCTCTCAATCCTGCCACTGCCAGACCAGAGCTGGCCTCTCTTCCAATTCCTTAGAAACATTTTATCTAAGAGGTGACCATAGGTTTTGTGGTTTAAGAATAGTATTTTTTTCTTACTACAAAAAAAATGAAAGTTCAGGTCTTTACGTTAGGCATTTGTATGAAAAAAAAAAAAGACCTAACTAGCCAAATGCTACTACTGGATTAGACTCTCTGATCTATTATTTTACATTTTTCCTCAAAATAAGATCATACTAAATATTGTTTTGTGGCCCGCTTTTAACATTTAAAAAAATTATCATGAATGTTTTGACAGGTCAGCAAATATTCTTCTATAATATCATTTTATTTTCATTAGGCAATAGAGTCACATCTTTTTGAATAATCAGAACTATATAAAAAGGGCATAAGCTGAGAAAGTTTATTCCCACCACTGCCCTCCCACATTTCTGCCCCTATAATCACTTTTATTGGTTTCCTGTATAACTTCCCAGTGTTCCTACTTATGCAGATACAAGCAAATATGAATATCTATTTCTCTCTCATCCCCACTCCTGGCTTTCTTACACAAAACAGCAAATATATTCTGTTCTGCCCTGGGCTTTTTT